AAAAGGTGTCGCCTTCTAAATCGAAGAGAAAATAAGCTACTCGAGGACAAGTGACTCTGTCGCAATCGCGATGCAAGATTCAAAGGAACTTCTGGCTTGGAGTACGGATACCTGTAGTCATCGAATCGAAGGGAAATGACGGCGGAGAATGGCGAACGGGCGCCGCGACGACCGAGAAAGTATCGCGCCGTTACCAAAGACGCGGCCGGAAGTTCAAAGAACGAACAGCGATAAAGCGAAGCTTTGTTGACGCCGTTCACAAAAGCCACTCGCTTGGCCCTTGCTTAAAAACACCTCAGACAGAAGGCACAATGCCCGAAACGTGTTAATGCTGCCGAAACTCTCCAACAGGAAGTCAGGGTCAATGATTCGAGGCTTCAAACGCGTCTTCCATTCTTCCCTCATCAAACTCAAAGGACGCGCGAACGCAAAGTGGACTCCCGAGTTGTCGACGACCACCTACAACTCACTGCATATATACTTTTCTGTCGAACGAAACGATACGAAGATTAATCAATTTTTTGATCGTTGCATGTTTATCGTTTGCAAATTGTACTATTGTAATGTGTATTGTAAACTATCAGGTGTAGATGCTCGATATTTTTTAAGATATAATTAAAATGGTACGATTGTACTGGACTCGTTTGTAAGCGTCGTGCAGTCTACTTTATTTTAAACTCGTCAAGGTTTTCAACAAATAATAATACCAAACGAATGATTCGAATAGATTCTACATTTGTATAATATTTTCTTCGTTCACAAATTTTACTATACGTGTCTCTAGAATCGTAAATATAATTTGATGTGCTTTTTTAGAATGATAGTAGAGCGATCCATTTTGGTGTATTTTGTAAAATATTATATTAGGTGATGCTCGATGTTGTTTAAGTTATAATTAAAGTGAAACAATTGTAAGTTCTGTGTAACTCCATGGACTCTTCACAAGACAAGTTTATAAATTTTTTTGTGTATAATATGCAGTAGACTGACATGTTTGTAAGCGTCGTGCAGTCTAATTTATTTAAAGATCGTCAAGGTTTCTAACAAATAATAATACCAAACGAACGATTCAAATAGATTCTACGTATAATATTTTTTCTCGGGTATAATCTTGTTAATTAACGATGGAGATATGCTCGCAACAGTCATGAATAATTCCTATCATATAGTTCGTTTTTTTTTCAAAATTGTTCCGACACACTGCTGCCGCTTTCCGCAATCACTTATCCGCGATAATGATTTCTGCTGGGTTTAAAAATTACATAAAATTACGCAACCCGTTGCATAATTAAAATCGCATTAATCGCGATAAGACGCCGTTTGTAGTAACGCGCGCGCCATAATTAGTCTGTTATAAAATTGCTTTTCGAAGACTGCTTGAATCGCGATCGTGCGTTTTGTAAACAAAACGACGGTATATGTGTCTCGCGGACAACGCGTCTGAATACCGTAAACAAAGGAATTTTTCTTGTCTCGCGACGGAATCTTATTAGACGCGAACTCCTGCTAGCTTCCGGTCAGGCAACGCATAATTACACGGATCCGTAAGTCGGTACGCAAAGTACGATTCCAGATAAGCAATTAAACGAACTACTGGCAAGAGTCACGATGACTCACGTACCGGTAAACGAGGTGTCAAAGCACTTTTTCCATTCGCGTTCTCCTTCCCGCGGTGGACGTAACCTAATTTCGAACCGTAATACGTAACGGCTGGTAATAATATCTAATCACTATCGAACTGTACGACAAATTTTATTTCACTTCAACAACGCTCGGTTAACTGCAAGTCATTTTCGATCGGATAAGTGAACGGTAGTCGTCCCTACTACTGAGAGGAGACACCCCTTGACACAACACGAAGCTCGACGTCGAGTAACATAACCCCATCTGGGGCTCGCACAGACGTACATAATGCAAAGATGAAAGTTTTTTATTTTTGTTTTCTTTGAAATAAAATTTTTACCAATGTATTTGTAAGAGTTTCCGGATTAAAATGAGACCAAACACGATATAATTTGCTTTTAACCTACTTCCAACAGAGTATAAAATCATGTTAAATACGATTAAATACGCAAAATAAAATTAATTTCTTTTATAGATAGATAACAATGTGTATTGAATTTTTCCTGCGTTTCCTTAGCAATTGTGCTCCAAAATGGCCGTCTCGTTAATCATTATCGAAGCGAAACAATCGTCTAATGAATAATTTACGCTTCGAATTTTTAAATTATTTACGTTTAATCGACGATTCGTTTCCCTTTCAGCGACGCACACACACACCTCGATGGAAGAAAACCAATTGGGTCAATGTAACCGCATTTCATTTTTTATTTACACGCTGCTCCCGGGGCTTTAATGACAACGATACAGTTCCGATGACACTCTGACCCTGATTGCCCGATTAAACGACTTCCACGTGCCTGTCACCGACCAACGACCGCTACAACAACTCTCGATCATCGTGAACGTTGCGAATGTGAATCACTCGCGCGCAGCAAACACTGGCATCGCGGGGCTCGCGCTATTTTTCAAACGTTTATTATGCTTTGGTCTTTTTTTGAGGGAATCTTGCGTGGTTCGATGATTTACAATTTCTCTGAATATTTATCGGTTTCATACCGTTTTATTGGCGATCTTCGAGGAAAACGCGGGTAAATATTCGATGCTGGAACAATACGCGTGCGTGGTAAATGTGTTTGAAAAAAAAGCAAATACAACGTACGGTTGATACGGTTCAGAAACGAGTCTGATAACTGGAGGGTATCGAGAGGATACGAAAGTAGTGGAAAAGTCCCGAAGCGTAAAAATAACGACTGGAAAAATTATTCTTTCGACTGTGCACGCGTTGAAAATTAAAAGAAAATCAAAAGACCGTCGTCGAACTACGAATAATACGACTGTCGATTCAGGAGCTCGAGTATCTAGAAACGAAAGTAAAGGGAGACTTGTTCGACTGTTACGAAGATACTAGACGTTCACACTTCGTTACCAACATCAACACTTCGTTGGCTGTTGTAAAACCTTTCACGTTGCAAGCGTTTTCAGCCAGCTCGTAGTTTTATTTATTTCTTTTATTACGTGACTTACAGTTACGCGCGTAGATACATACGCGTATCGAATAAACTTTTGTTCAGTTTCTTTTCACGGTGGAATACGTATAAATACATTTGACTTTAATTTTGAAATAAATAAATTGTAATAAAAAGTAAAAGCAAGACGAGCAATATATTAATAGTAATTACGCGTATTTGTAAATTAAATATCCCGTGACTGCTCGTTGGCGCAAATAAATAGATCCATTTTCATATTCTACGTCCATCGAGACACATTTATCATTTTTCTACGTAAAACGGAATACTTAGAATTCTTGATAGTTCCAGATTTAACCTATTCGACATCTTTTCATAAAAATCGAACAGATATAATAACCGGGAAACGATTCGGAGTTTCCCGGGTGTCGCGCGAAAGAAATCTGAATCTGCTGAATCACAAATACGTGAATATTTTATCTAACGCACCGTATCGCGTTTCGTAAACGTGAAACTGGTGACTCGGTTTGTTACACGGAAAACGACGACACTTAAATACGTGTACTCCCATTCGTCCTCATGCACAAGAAAATAAATACTCATTGCGATCACGGCAAACGTTCAGGCATGCACACCGACGAACGTGACACAGTTACCGCTCAAAGAAGTACTAAACAAACTCTATGTGCGAAGCAATTTGCTTTTGCGACCGATAGCATCGTGATCTCATTGCATCGACGTTATCGATCGCTCGTGTGTACCGTCGTCGAAAGGCTGAGGATAATGCGGAGTCTGTTTCCACAAACAGCGATCTTTGTCGCTAATAATCTTCGACATAATGCGCGGCTTGTACGCGAAAAAGATAGTAACAGAAAACGCGTGCAAACGACGAGGCTGAATCGAGCATTTTCGACCAACCAAAATCTTTGAACTCGATTTATCAGACCGTTGCAAATCGAGTCTGATAAATCCATGAATCGTTCGCGGAAACTTTTGCGCTATTTATCAGACCGTCCAACTTAACAAACGCCAGAACAATCGTGGAATTACGATGGGCCACAGAAGGTAAGTTAAATCGCTCTTTAGAAGAATTTCACGAATTTTTTATTTATTATCAAGCTCCGAGGGTGGAAATTTTTCAGACGATCGTCACGGTGGTCACTGGTGACCGACACTCGAAACTTACAACGCGTTGCAAAATCGTTTAATACTTGTGAAACTATAAATGAAAATACTGTAAGATACTGAGTGTATGATTCTTCTAAAAGTCTATCCTTGAGAACGAGGAATCTTTTAAGTTTCTCAAAATCCTCGACTCGACCCAAGTACAGAATTATTATCGCCTCGAAATTGATGTTTTTTGCCAATAAAAATCAGGCTACACTTAAATAAATCGTAACATGCACATGTATTGATATATTGGGCACATACTGGTACATACAAATAGTCGTGACTCTAATCGTGAACGAAAACGCGTGAGTATGCTAGTTACTCTACACCGCTGTAAAATTTTGAAAAAGCATTGGCGTCGTTCAAGATCTACTAATTTTCTGCCGATATCTACTCGAGAATAACACCACTAATAGACCAGAACATTCAATTCTCCGGAAAGCATAGAACACCAGGCTCACGATCCAAGAAGAAATAAAAAAAAAAAGTGCAAATTGCAAACGATACGGCAGGAAAAAGGAAACAAACTCGAGAGACAACTCCATGCAAACCGAACGTTTCGCGTAAACGCAGACGTATGCAGTCGGAACCCATAAAAACCCACAGCGTCGAGCGCGATGCTAAAAAAACTGACGAAAACAAGGCTCCAGCAGGCAAAGAACACAAAGAACACTCGGTCGATTGACCGAGGGGGGAAAAAAAATACAAAAAAAAAAGAAATAAAGAGGAAATAAAAATGAAAAAAAAACCAGTACTGCAACGAGGAAACAATGATGATGAATCTCTTGCGAGTCTGTTTACCTGCTGCACGTACCACTGCGTGGAATTCTGGTTCTTCCTGTGGCTGCTGGGCTTGCAGGGACCGCAGAGAAGCAGGGGCGCCAGTTTGTTAACCCCCTTGACGCTGGCCGACGCCGGGGGCGACGCTGGGCTCAGCCCGTCATCCCCCAACACGGGCCACAGCATCCACGTCTGAATGTCCGCGGAACTTCCCCTTCTTCCGTAGCTTCGATTCTGCCTGTGCAATTTGTCTCGTGATTTGTCTGACGACTACTTTTACCGTCGATAACTCGAGAGGAGATCCGCGTGAAATATTATCGAGCCCGTTCACGGAATCGACCACGACCCGTAAAGGGACGAGGGAATCGAGATTCGGGGGGAGGACAGACGATTTCGAGCCACACATTTTCCGTTCGATTTCGAGCGACTGGGGCGCCTCCTGGGAGATCGATCGACCCTTAAATATTTTCTAAACGCCGTATTTACGTATTAGGAAACATCGATTGTCTCTTTAAGAGCGACAGAGACGCATCGTGACCCCGAAAAGCCTCCACACATTCTGAAAAAGGGCGGAAACAGTATGATAAGAATATTGAATTGTTTTTAGTGTCATACGAAATTTTTATTTTGTAACCTTTGTTCCAATCGAGACACAGAGGGTGAATCTTTTATTTGCCTAGTATGACATGGTTTATAGAGAGCTTCGAGACGAGTATACTAAATTTTTTGCCAATTGTTTTTTCTTCAAGTCTTCATGGTGACCCGTAGTTTTTTTTATCAAGAGACCTATTTTCTGTTTACACTTATCGTTCAGTGGATATTAAGAGGAATTTAGCAAGCAGCGTAACAAACACATTTTTTTCTATTTAACTAAAAATCAATTCTCCGGATTAGATGTTAAAAAAAAATATATCTAGAAAAACTCTTGAATTTTACTGTAAAAGTAAGTTCCATTGTCATTACGAATTGTAGGTATGCTAGTTTCCAATTGTCTAAAAACAAAGCTTCATTTTCGTGGACAATTTGAGAGGTTTGGCAATCGACGAGTTAAACAAAACAAAAACAAACGTTAAGGACAATTCTTGGTCGTAAAATTTTCTTCTAATTTTTTCTTTTCTATTTCTAAACGAAACTTTCATCTATTTTTGCGAACAAGAAATAAAACAATTCTCGATTCATCGTCAGCCTTCGAGCTTCGTTAACTATCGTGCTCGATTGACCTTTCTATTGTTTCTTTAATAATTATGCGTTCTCGCGGAACCAAGGATTCGACCGTGACAAATCGACACGTTTAGGCAAATCAAGGAAATATCAATACTGCTAATGGACACGTGGACGAAACGTAATCGCGGGCTTTCCTCGTTCATTTCGCGCTATTTATCGCATCGTTGCTCGAAAGCTGATCGATACGCGATCGTGATCCGAGCCAAGGCAAAGTCCTTGTTTGAATAAAAATTTCGAATAACGATAAACATGGGTTTGTTCGCAGTTGATTCGCTGCTTCTTGCGTCAGAATTAATATATTTAATTATGCAATGATATATTCCACCAGAAAATAAAAATTTTCCAGTGTTTCCCTAGAGAACAATTTCAAATATTTTTTTGTCATTTAGAAAATTAACTTCATTTTTCGTTTAAAATATCTGTTTACATTATACTGTCTCAGAATTTGATTGAGTGTTATACTAGAGGGTGGCATTAAAATATTTAAGACGTCGAGGTTGAAGCACGATTCGAGCAAAATTGGGGAACGCTGCTACACGATCTTATCGATTATCTATTATTCAATGTGAAATTTTGCCCACTTCTGAGACTCAATTGCGACGCCATCGTCGAAGCTGAAACTGAATTATCATCGACGTGTCGAATATGGTATCGATATATCGCGAGAGAAGAAAAATCTCTCGCGGAGACTAAATAAAATGTTTGTTTATGGTATTCTGATTCGTCGAAATTTATTTTCGCTTCTGAAATTGCGTCTCGTTCCTTCCAGCTGTCCCGTTTTCGCAATCACATCGCAGCACATACAGGGTAGACCATTTAATTAAATATTTCCTATGCCTGTGCATATACAGGGTGTTTCCCAGGCCACACCTGGGAAAAATTTTAATGGGGGATTCTAGAGGCCAAAATACGACGAAAATCAAGAATACAAATTTGTTGATAGAGGCTTCGTTAAAAAGTTATTAACATTTAAAGTTCCGCAAGTACAGAATTTTTTTCTCGAAAATACGCAGGATTTCAGGGGTATGTCTATTCATCAAAAATGATTGTAATTGACCCCCGCAACCGAAAATAATTTTTCCAGAACGATTTGAAATTTTTCTTTTTAGTCGAAAAATTTAAGCATATTCTCGAATTTTTTTCTTGAAAATTCGTAGGATTTCGGGGGTATGTGTAATGGCCAAAAATGATTGTAATCGAGCCCTGCAACCGAAAATAATTTTTTTAGAATGATTTGAAAAATTTTTTTTTCGCCATAAAATGTCACACCTCGAATTTTTTTCTCGAAAGTGGGTAGGATTTCGGGGGTATGTGTATTCACCAAAAATAATTGTAATTGACTCCCGCAACCGAACATAATTTTTCCAGAACGATTTGAAATTTTTTTTTTCGTCGAAAAATGTAGGCATATTCTCGAATTTTTTTTCTTGAAAATTCGTAGGATTTCAGGGGTATGTGTAATGACCAAAAATAATTGTAATTCACCCCCACAACCGAAAATAATTTTTCCAGAACGATTTGAAATTTTTGAATTTAATTGTTAATAACTTTTTAACGAAGCCTCCATCAACAAATTGGTATTCATGATTTTCGTCTTATTTTGGCCTCTAGAATCCCCCATTAAAATTTTCCCCAGGGTTGGCCGAACACCCTGTATAATAATTTCTTTTATTTTATTCCTCTTTTTTCTATTCCCTGTACATCTTCGTGATCAAAATTAGCATGCGTTCGATACGGAAATATTGCATAGTATTTTTCGTTATATAAGTAAATTTGCAGGATGAATCGAGCGAATATAGAGATTGGAAGCTACGAGAAAATTCTGAGAACCGAAGTGCAGTTCGAAACTATTGTACGAGCCGAACAATGAAACATTGTTCCGCTATTGTGATATTAACGACAATAGCGTAAAAGTTTGCACATTCTAATTCGCGTTTCGAACAAGCGACTTTTTTAATTCCAGCTTCGCTTTATTGCACTTAATTTTCATTTATCCAATAAGTAGACACAGCGAACAAACAAGTCTTCGCTGAAATAATAAAGTTGATTATAAAGTAGTACATCGATATTAAACGTTCTTTCTAAGATCGTTAACGAACAGATCAGATATTCAACCTTATTAAATCTCACGAACTTTCACGTTCTACCCGATTTTCCGTCTTATTCAGCTCACGATCCAATTAATCGTATCGTTCCCTCTGCCAATAATTATGTGAACAAATTTCTTCTTCGGTTCTGCGCAATCTTCCAAGAATATATTATACAAGACATTACTTCCTGATATTAACGTTACCCGATACAATGATATAACATGAATCGAATCGTTTTTGCCAAAAAAAACAAAATTTTTCACAAGATCTCTTCGAACGAGTGCAATCAAGACGCTTGTAAAGTTCAAAGACGACAAAGATTTTATAAATAAAATTAACTGAGACGAGCGTGTGCCCACGTTTCCCGGTTAATAGCACTATCAATCTCGATTGATAGTACGGTCTCTACCGTGGAAATAATCACTTTACCTGCCCACGGCAATTTATTTCCGAAGGATCAAAGGAAGGGTCGCGAAAGTCCGTTGCCGCAATCGATCCTTCGATGTCGAAAGGTCGAAGGAGCAAACGGCGGAAAACGGTCCCGCTAAAGAGGATATGACTTCCCCGTAGGCGGGATTGCACTTCCGACCATTACAGTTCCCGGAGCTCAAAACGTACGTACGTATTTTCTAAATGCCGCGCAACCTCGTGACTTTTAACGTTTTAATTACCGGTACAACCTACGGACGAGTTTCCACGGTCTGCAAACGCGGTTGTCGAAAACAAAAATTAACTTCCAACGCCCCACCTACGTGCAATGCAATTATTAATATTAATAGATTCCCGTTCGTAGCCACCACGCTTCAGATAATAAACCGGAGGTTTATACAATTTTTATTTTAAATAAATTTATTCAAATGTATTCGAAAATATAGATTTTCGAGGTATCCAAAACGAGCTAGAATTTTATTTTAATTTATGGAAGCTGTAGAAATTTTATTTTATATAATATTATACGATGTTTATGGATGGTCCATAATTTAAGCGAACTTGAGTAATGTCTGGGTTAATTTACGTAGAGGACTGTGAAGATTCTTTTCAATTTTAACAAAGTAATCTGCGTGCATGACGGTCAACCATTATTCGCGATTTCCCACGTGCCGATTCATTGCGCAGCAGTAATGTAATATTATAACGCGAACGGTAAGATAATTTCCAGGAATGGTATACTATAGAAGCAATTCGTAGAAAATGTGCAGAATCAAATGGAATAATATTTAAGTTCTTGTAAAAATAAAATCGAACGGTTCCATTTTGTTTAGCAAACGGCATCGATACGCACGAAGAAAATCTCGTGTTATAGGAGAATAGAGAATATTTTCCTCCAGAATATCTCTATCTTTAGAATAGACTTACAGCGTGTCCTAGTTATTAAAGAAATCAATGTTCAATCGCGCTAGTTTTATAGAACCATTTAATTAAACTATTAGGTGTACAAATGAATAATCCAAATTATCTTAAGGGGCCATTCTACCTTGTAGGTACGAAAAATACGTGTTTCTTTGTGATTTTTTTTTACGGGCTATTAAAGAGCGATTAATTCCGTGTTTTGTAGATACATTTATTATATATTTAGCTATTTTTACGAATTTTTGCAACGCATATTATCTATTGATTACGCTGTTTTTGTTAATCAACAAACAACAGTTTTTACGAACGGCGCCCGACTGCGTATGTGATATCTTGCGAACAAGTTATCCAAAATCCAAAAACCAACGATATTCTTAATGTAGATGAGTGTAGTTATAGCATGAACTAGGATCTTTTCAAAAATACAAAAAATTTGCAAAATGGCAGCTATTTTACGAAAAAATACTGAATATTTTCATATATTCGGTTGCTTTTTTGTTAATAAAAGAAAAAGTATTGCATATATCGCAATTATCCTAGTTCATGCTATAGGGAGACCAGTTCTAAAGATACT